AGGCGACCCCGTCGAGCGCACCTCGCGGCCTCCTGGCCTCGGGCCTCTGGACATGTTGCTGCTGTTGCTGCTGCTGTTGCTGCGGTTGTTGCTGTTGCTGCTGCTGCTGCTGCTGCTGCTGTTGCTGTTGCTGTTGCTGTTGCTGTTGTTGCTGCTGCTGTTGCTGTGATTGTTGTGATTGTTGTGATTGTTGTTGTCGTTGAGCTCTCGCTACTGAAGAAGATCTATCGTTGATCCCCCCCTCCGTGGCACATTGTGTTTTTCAATTGAAGTGCCCCTCCCGGCGCTCGCACACGGTTTTTTATCAGGGAAAGCCTTGAGGCTTAAACTGTGCCCCTGGCCCCCGGTTTACAACAACAACAACGGCTCCCGCTGGATAATTCCTCGACATTTACTCCGGTCCCCCGCTCCCGCTTGAGACTTCCCCGCAATTTACTCCAGAATCGCGCTCCCGCTTGATACTTCCTCGCAATTTCCTCAGGCTCCGCGCTCTTGCCATTCAGGAATGTTCGCTGGGGACTTCCTCAAATTTACTTAGGAATCTCTCTCTCGCTGGAAACTTCCTGGCTAATCACGCAGAAGTCACGATCGATCCGCCCGCTCGGCCCGCTCGTCAGGGTCATGCCCTTCGTGCCCCATGCTCGCTCGCGCCCATTGTGCCTCATTGCTGCCCTTCGTGGCCCTTCCTCTTGTGGCCCAGTCGCTGCCCTTCGTGGCCCCCGATGCTGCCCTCAGTGGCCACTCGCTGCCCTTTGTGGCCCATATGATACGGTCTCCCCTCTTTCCCTGTTTTAGGGGCTGCGCCGCGCCAACTACACGTGCCAAGCAATTCGCCGGCCCAACGGGCCAGAGGCGTGCTAAGATCTCCGGTAACTGGTTCACAATTCTTCTAGTTCGGGCGCGCGGGGCGGCCCCTGGGAGTCCCCCGGCGAAAAGTACCCCGACCGCAGCCCGGGAAGGTCCCGGGAAGGTCTACTCAGAGATGGTTTTCCTCCTGGGTACGGCCTCTCAGGCCCCCCAGAGCGCGCCAAGAGGGCCCCAAGAGGCCCCCAAGACTGCCCAAGAGGCCCCCGAGACGCCCAAAGGACGCTCCAAGACGCCGAAGATGATCCCAAGCCGGCCCAAAAAGCCGCCAAGACGCTCCAAGTGGCCTCCAAGAGGCCTCACGAGAGCGCCCCGAGAGGCCAAAATCATTAATTTTACGACGGTTTTGGACGGATTTTGGCCTTGTCGCATTTTCGGCTTTCCGATGCTCCAAGACGGCCCAAGAGGCCCCCAAGAGCGCACGAAGACGGCTCAAGAGGCCTCCAAGAAGGCCCCCAGAGAGCCCAAACGGGCCACGAGACGGCCCAAGAGACGCCCAAGACGGCCCAAGAGAGCCCCAAGACGGCCCCAAGAGGGGCCCAAGATGGGGACCACGAACCGAAACCTCAAGCCTTCCGCCCCAAGAGGGCCCCAGGAGGCCCCGAGAGGCCCCCAAGATGGCCCAAGATGCCGCCAAGAGGCCCCCAAGAGACCCCAGGAGGCTCCAAGGAGGCTCAAAAGAGGCCCTACAAGGCTTCAAAAATGTCTCCCAAGCGCCCCCGAACGGCCTTTCAACGGACCCCAGGGCCTCCCAAAGAAGCATCTGGACGACGGCCCTGTTTGGCCCCAAGAGCGCCGCAAGATGCCATCGAGAGGCTTCCTCCTCCGCCCTTTTCTCTTCCTCCTCCTTCTCATATGTATCTTCATCCTCCTCCGTTCCTTCTCATCCTCTTCTCCTCCTCCCCTCCCCCTCCCCATCCTCATCTTCTTCCTTCCGGCGGCGCCGAAATGGCCCCGAACCCGCGCCGAAGCAGTAGCGATCATTCAATACGGGCCAGCGGAGTGAGCGAAGCGATTGCATAAATACGCCAAAAATAGAAACATTCCCAATCGATTACCCCCCCTCCTGCCCCAAGGGGCCCCCAAGAGCCCCCCAAGAGGTCCCAGGGGAGCCCAATACGCCGCCAAGGAGCCCCAAGACGCTCCCAAGAAGCCCCCAAGAAGCCCCCAAGACGGCCCCAAATAGCGCTCCAGGGCCGGCGGAATGAGCGAAGCGATTAAATAAAGATGTACCCGCACGCTCTTGCCTGAGACTTCCCCACAATTCATTCAAGACTCACGCTTTTATTCGCCTGCTGGACTCGCTCGTTAGGGCCGCCCGCCTGACTTGCCTGTGACGGCAGGCCCGGCGGCTCGCTTGGAAGCTCGCCGGGTGCTTTCACGTCCCGCACGCCCGACCCGCCGTTAGGGTCCGCCCGCGGGTCCGCAAGCCCCGCCCGCCCGACCCGCCCGTTGGGGACCGTTGACCGACCCAACCGTCCGGGTCTGCCGCTTGTTTTCCAGCTCCTCTCTTAAGCCCCCCACCTTCTAATCTCTCTCGTCCGCAGTTCTGCTCCCTCCTTCTTGTCCCTTGCCTCCCTCCCTTCCCCCACTCCTTTCCTCCTCGCTTATGTTTGTTTGTTTCTCTCTCTCTCTCTCTCGCTCTCTCTCTCTCTCTCCCTCTCTTTCTGTCGCTCTCGCTCTCTCTCTC